CATCAACTGTAGATTTGGGAGGTGGAGCTATAACCTAGACTGCTGTATAGAGCTGGTTTTATCTTCATTATCCAGGTGTGGATTGTTCTGCATGTCAGAATTCTTTTTAAGCTCAGTTCTAGAGCAGACCCAACCAAACTGTCCATTTTTCCTGGCTTCCTCCACTGGGGTGTGTATTCCTGACACAGCACAGCCACTGTGTGATGGACACAGGAGTGAGTCCCTCACGCTGCTCTTGTGCAAATATTTAAGAATTAGCTCATTTTGTAGTCCTTTGAAAAGTGCTGTGCACATTCTCCACTCATGCATAATGTCAGGGGTTATAAGAGCCACTCCATCAGTATTTATGCAAATGCATTTTGTTTTACAGTAAAACTTTTCCCCAGAATATGGTGTTACACGGTGTGCAGAATGAAAATACTGCAATGACTCTTCTGCTGACTTGCAAATGGTAGGCAAGGCTATTTTCTAACTCTTCTCTTGGTTTTGCACTCTGTGTTTTATCTGCAAGACCTCACCTCTCAGTTCTTCCTTGGGGCAGGCTCTGAGGCAACTTTATCACATTTGCAGCTGTTTGAGTATGAAAGTAGGTTTGAATGTGTGTGCAAATTTTTTTAATCCAGGAGGGAAAACATTTATACATTTTTGAAGTTAACAATTGTTAAATTGTTATATTCTTTTAAATCATTGAAATAACTTATTTTAATAAAAAATTGTTGATATCTCATGTTGATGTGAATGATGCCAGGTGCTTCTTTGTTTAAGCATTGTTTTGTTGAATTTCATTACTTTTGCCAGTCATTTGAAGCAGTGAGTTCTTACTGAGCAGTGATCTGCTGGTGTGGTATGGTGTGCTCTGCTAGAGGTTGGAAGAAGGGCATTTCTGTGTTTTTAAGATGAACTGACTTAGAGATTGTTTCAGTAGACATGGTTATCATGGCACTTCCTGTGGCTCCAAACACACGAGGCAGAAGGAAAAGGTCAAAGATCGAGTTTAACTTGTGACTCCAAACCAACCTTTTTCAGTGAGAGGCAGATACAAACTCCAGCTCTAGTGAGAGTCACATTTGTATGAGCTTGAACAATAACATCTGAGCAAGGCAAAGATTAAATCTGTGGTAATTTGGAAGGACAGTAATATTGATGTTTACAAAAAATATTTATCAGAACACGTTCTGCCTGTGAGATTGCTGGGAAAACTGCTGCTGGGTGGGTGGACTGTCTTTATGTGGTGATTTTTTTAATTGTTGGGAGTCTTGGGAACAGATTTTTTCTCATCTTTTGATCCGAATTACATGCTTATTGAACATGAATCCATATGAGGTGTCTGCAGCCTAATTCTTAAGGAAGGTCATTAACAAAGAGTCTTTATCACCTTAGTGAGTCTTGATATGCATGAGTTCTGGAGTCCAAAAAATTACTACATTTAGGTGTTGCCTGTATTGCCACTTTTTGCTGCCCCAACAGATCTATATATTTCTCTGTTGAAAGCATTTTGTTAGTTTTGCATTTCTTTAACCTTGGAGAAGATGTGAGCTGTGTACCAGCCATTATGTTTGAATTCTCCAGACCAGCTGGAAAAATCTGAATGTGGTGTGGAAGCTGAAGTGCAGTGGTTGAGATCTGTTACAGTCATGTGTCAGCATTTTTAACTGCAGTCCAACTAGCTGGCTTTGTTCCAGACTGAAATTCCCTTTATAGCATGAGAAATAGAAGTTAAATATAATGAAAATTACAGTTCAGAGATGAATTTATCTTCTGATCTATAACAGCATTTATAAACATGCTCAGCTGTTAGTTTTAAAAGAATTTAAATTAAATTAAAAGCAGTTGAATTCAATGCTAGTCTACATTTTTAGCTGTTACTCCAGCAAAAACGAGAATTGACTAAAGAAAAGATTGACTAAAGTAAAGCAGTAGTTCCCCCAACACTTCTGTACTCCTGAATTAGTTTAATCCCCAGATTCTTTACAATATGTGTAAATTATCGGCCTTCAGGACCCTTTTCTCTGAAGAGCACATAGTGAATTATTTAATACAACACTGCACTTTGGAAAGTATGTGGAAATCAGTAATAAATAGAAACAAAGGGACATTTTGGTTGGGTCCCTTAGGAGAAGGACTTAGAAAAATCTGGTTTGATTAAGCATCTAAAATAAATATATTTAAATGCACATGAGAAGTATAAATTTTCATGTATATCTTGCAAATTTGTACCTTGAAATGCTGTGTCTGAGGTGAAGTAGCTGACCAAGCATTCTTAAACTATTCACTTTAAACATCAGCATCATCCTTTATAGTGAGGCACCTATCAATTGTTCAGTAATTTTGAGGACTAGGAAAAATTGAATCTGAGCTATTTTTTCATTCTGCTCTTCCAATTTTTAGGTGCATTTCTGGTAATTCAGTTTCAGGAAAACAGCTAAGATGAAAATTTGAAAAGAGACACAACACTTGAATTAATTACCCTAATTTACCCAGATATTCATGCATGAGGAATAATGATAAAAAAACAGGAAAAAGGAGAGAGAATTCTTGTTGTAAAATACTTCAAATAGAGCAGCTGTGACTGTCTTTACAGGGGTGGAATTTTCAAGCAATTTTAAAGTATCTTTTTAAGCCACAGACTGCCTGTTTTCCTTTTGGAAAGAGTAAGTGTATCCTTCACCTCTGCTGTGGTCAGCACTTATGTTTTTTTAATAGTTGGAGCTAATAGATGGGGAATTAATCAGTGCTCTGATGATGGCTCGGGGTGTGTCCCCACATTAATCCCGTGTGCTGGAGCACTCTTGGGCCATTGAGATAAAACAATTCCTCCTGCTCTGTTATCAGAGTTCTGGCCTTGACCCCAGGCAGATGAAAAGCTTCACGTGTTGAGCTCAGCTCCTGCAGGACTTCTGGTATTTGGGGTTTTGTGGGGCTTTTTTGTCTTGTCAGGAGCTGCTGCTGCTGCCGTACCTCAAACCTGACCAGGGCCTGAACCTCAGCTGGTATTGACAGTGTGGATTTAGGATTCTTGGCTTAAGGACCCTTCCATAGATGATTTTCATAACCCCACCATTGAGATAATTATAAATAGCAGTAGCTGAGTTTTGCTGAAAGATTACAAATAGCAGAGAAAATTCCTCTGGGGCACAGGAGTTCAGTTCCCTATGTTAAAACCATTTTTTTTAGAAGACTTGACATGAAATACCAATGCTGTTTCTGTGCAACAGGCTTGTGCAATTTCTTCTACGTTTTGGTTTTGTCTTCTGCTGGCATTAGAATTTTGTAATCTATTTCTGATAACACTGTGTCAAAGCCAGAGAACTTAAAGGGGAAAAGAACAAAGTGGTTTCCACTTGAAAAAACAGAGCTGTTGGAAAGAGAGCATCAGCCCAGTGCTTTCATGAGGTCATGGATGTCTTTTTTCTGTTTTATTAAAAAGAAGATTTTTTCTTTCTGCAGATGATGTTGTATATTAATGACTCCTGGAGAGTGGCCCCTGTGCCATCAGCGCTCAGTTGGAGACACATAAGCTCTTTATAAGAGAGTGCAACACTCCTGCTACAGAAACAGCTTATTTGCTATTAGAGAGAGGAAAAAAAGTGAGTTCTCTCTTGAGCTGTCCCTCAAGCTAAGTATTAAATTTAGTTTCTTTCATGGTGTACTTACTGGTAGGGGAATGAGGGAGAAAAGTCAGATTTGAAGCATAAAAATACAAAAAGTTATCAATAGCGTGGGCTGGGTTTTGTTTTTAAGGTAAAATTATCAGGAACAGTAAAAAAATAATGCTGCCTTTAGTCACCATGAGCTGTAAAAATCTAAGCAGGGGTGGCTGTGGATTTCTAGCTTGGTTCCTCTCTTTAGGCCTCTTGTTTTCTGAGAATCCTTTAACAGTGCAATGGAACTGCTCTGCTTCTTATTCTTTACTTCCCCGTTTCGGTTGCAGCAGAGTTGAACAGAAGTATCTGGAAGTTACTCTTAATTTAAGATCAGTGTAGCTTCAGCTATTAAAATGGAAAGACTAAAGTTTAAAGAGGAGTTTTAAATTCTGGAAGGATTCTGCTTTTATCAAGGGGTACAGAAGCTGCAATGCTGATGAGTTAAGGGAAAACAACTTTGTGTTTAAAATTTGAGGTGAAGTTTCTCAGTTTATGTATTAAATTGGCAGATGGAATTGCATGGGACAGCTGTGACCTGTACTTTTAGTCTTATCTTCTAATCTTAAAATTCCACAAAATTATGAGTTTCCTTGTACCAAGTGTTTATCTTCCTATCACAAAGCTGAAATTCTATTTAGATGGTGTCAGGTGTTAAAGAAATATTATTAAAGGCTAAAAGTGTTTTATAAATCGTGGAACGTGAACGCAATCGCTCACCAAATGTCTTTGATGAATTATTTGTTTAACCATTCAATAATGCTGGGAAAAATCATAGGTTTTATTTATGCATGCACTTTCAGCTGGCTCATTCATTTTAAACAGGCATATTTTACTGTTAGAAAAATCTACAAATCTGTGGTGCTTCAAGCACTTTGTGGTAATTTAGATTAAGCATGGTACATTTTCCAGAAGTGTCATTAGATCTCAGAGTTAACTCAGGAAAGCACACCAGAATGTATTCATGTAAAAACCTCATTTATTTATTGTCTAGAAGTTTATCAGTTTATCTTGGTTAGGCATATATACATCCAATCTGGGAAGCAGAACTGGGGTTTGGAATGTCATCAAAGAATAAATTTATTCTCCTCTGGATCATGTAACACCAACTCTTTAGGAATAAAGGGCAGGGATCAGGAGTAAAATCCCATCAGGGAGGAAGAGTCAGCCTAAGGACATTTGTTTCATTCACTGTATTGTGCTGTTGTACCTGAGAGTAAAATGCTGTTTGCAGTAATACTGAGCTTCACTTGTTAGTGATCTGATCAATTTCACTTTGAAGAGAATGAATATATAAAAAATTGCAACTTTTTACTCAGCAGTTCCATTCCTTGGGGATAAAGCTGTTATTTACCTCAATCACACAAGTATGTATTTTTTAAAAAATCTTTTATTACCCGTCTGTCAAAACCAAGAGTAAGCAGAGAACACAACTAAATTCTGTCCTCAGCATTTCATCTTTCAGAGTGAAAATGTCGCTGCAGATGGAAGCCAGGAGACCAGCACAGCAATCAGCAGCACAAGCAGTCCTCCATCCCTAACCAGGTGCATCATGGTGTAATTTCTTGGCTTTGGTCCACATCCCTGGGCTCTAAACCACTCCACCACTTCATCCAAGTTGTACTGCTGGGGCTCATAGCCCAGCTCCTTCCTGGCCTTCTCCATGCTGAAGTAGTGTGTGACACCAGTTTTGTAAACCTCCGTGCGAGTGAGGAGGGGCTGGAAGTTATAAACGTGCCCCACAAGGAAATGAACTATTTCAGTAAGGAATGCAAAAAAATAGACAAGGGAGAGGGGAAGGCGCAGGGTTGGGAACTTGTAACCCAAGCCTTCCACCAGCGGTCGGAAAAATTCAAAGTTATTGACAGGCCTGCCATCAGAAATGAAATAGGCCTGGCCTGCAGCAATGTGCTGCTTGCTGGCTCTGAGGGCCTCGGAGGCAAGGACGTGAGCCTGGACCAGGTTGTCCACGTGTACAAACTCCACCAGACTCAGAGGGTCTCCATAGACAAATTTAAACAGTCCCCTTTCAATGTAGCTGACTATTCTGGGCAGGTGTCTCTGCTCCCCAGGCCCGTAGATCCCTGCTGGCCGCAGAGCACAGGTCCTCAGGACACCTCTCCCATTTCCCAGCCCGGCACCGTTTGCCTCCAGCACCTTCATTTCAGCTAAGGATTTCGTTCTGGAGTAGTGATCAGGGTGAAGGTGCAGAGGTAGGTAAGGCAGAGACTCATCCCCATTTTCTATAATCTGGCCTCCAAATATCACATTGTAGGTACTTGTATAAACCAGGCTGGGCACTCCCCTGCTCCTGCAGGCCTGGATGACATTTTCTGTTCCTTTCACGTTAACGTCTTCTATAAGTTTTCGGTTCAGCTGCTCCCTGCCAGACATTCCATAGGAAGCGATATGGAACACGCAGATTACATCTCTGAGAGCTTCTTCCACTTCTGACAGGCAACAGATATCCCCCTGCATGAACTTCATTCCCTCTGGCATGGTTTGAAGGGGCTTCACCACATCAAAGAGGATCACATCCACTCCCTTTTGATATATGGCACAACCTAAACTGAAACATGACAGAAACCATGAGTTAGGATATGGCACCATGGTGCATGAAACATCTCACCTGGAAGGGAGAGAAGACTATTAACTGTTTTTATGCTGATTATTTTTCTGGTGAGAGTCTTTTAAATGCTCAGCCCCCCACTACAGGGAAGATTCAGCTGTGATAGTTTAGGTACCAAACTGATTTCTCACATTCCATCAATACTCGGAGAAAAAGAAAAAAGAGACAGAACTGCTGTAAATGAAAATTCTGAAGAGATCAGCAACAGCAATTTTCAGACATGCAACTATTGCCAAATATTTTTTATAAAAAAAACGTTACTTGTTTTATCTTACTGCTTTTGTGCCATCCCAGTTCTGGCAAAACAACAGGTTGGTCTTTGCCATTGTGTTTGAAATTTACAGAGGAGCAGGAGAGATGCTTCTAAGCTGCTATGAATGCTTTGTCACATGTCTACATTTTACTCCAAGTCACAGGTATTGACACAAAGTGTAAATCTGGTGTTTCTCTTCCCCTTTCCTACATTTTTGTATGTCTATTGTGCTTTAAGGGTGTGAGAGTGGAGGGAAAAGCCAAGCAGAAGTCAGACAGGCATCTCCTGAGATTTTTTTCCTTCCCCTGACTTGAAATTTACTTTATTTTCTGGTTCTGACTGTGATCTCTCTCCCTCTGTGAGCAGTTATAGTCTAGGGCTCAAAATAGGATTTTTTCTTTACATGGGCTGCAGCAAGAGAAAATGGATTCCACTGATTTGTGCACCTTATTAACAACCCTAATCCTAAACCATCACTGTTCGTGAAAAATAATATATTCTTGAAAGTTCAGCTGAAGTTGTTAACCTACAGAGCTAAGCATACGTGTAACTATTTGCAGGTGAAAAGAAAACAAGTGTAGGCTTGTCCTTCAGAGCGGGCTGACGATGGTGATCCCACCCCTCTACAGAGGTGAGCACACAGGTAAATAAATGTCTGCCAAGGAGCTGCTGCCGGACAGTTGGAAAGGGGAAAAGAGCTTTACTTACAGCCTCTGGAAACAGAGTGACTGAGGTTGTTTAAAACTGAGACCCCGGGTGAACCAGAAGGTGGGAACACCTGGATCAGGTGTCTCAGGCCCACAGGTCTCCCTTTTACAGATGGATTTTGCTGCCTCCCCAGCAGCAACCTCTTATATTTACTCCTGTATGTAATAACTATTTAATGCACTAACCGGAAGCCAAAATAACCCCCTCCTCCAGTAATGAGGACTCTTTCCTTGGCAGCGTTTCCTTCTTCCATCCTCCTTCCTTTCGCACCGTGTGCTGGAACTGACCTACAAAACACACCCATTAAAACCAGTCCGCGTTTTACCATCGCCGCACATTCCCGTCCTTATTCACCGCTTTCGCTCACGCTTTAATTCCGGCCCTTCCCTGGGGGGCAGGAGGGGATTAAGGCCGGGACGGTTCCCAAGGGAGGGACGCTGTTCCCGATGCGGGAGCGCCGTGCCAGCCCCGGGCCCCCCGTACCTGCGGCGCTGCCGGCCCGGCCCGGCCCGGCCCGTCCCTGCCGATTCCCGGGGCGGTGCCGCTCCCGATCCTGGGAAATGGAGCCGGGCGGGGCGGGGCGGGGGCGGCCCGAGATGGCGGCGGGAGCTGGGGCTGTGTTGCCGTCAGCCTGTGCTGGGCTCGCCAGCCGTGCTGGTGTGGATTTCTGTGCCGGGCCCGTGATGCTGCTGCCCTCCCCGCACAGCCTCTGAGATGGGGGGCTCGGTGGTGAAATCAGAGCCTGTCCCGGCCCGGTGTTTGTACCGCAACCCCCGGGATCGATCCGGGCTGGAGCAGCCGTGGGAGAAGTGCTCGGGGGTGTTGGTGTCTGGGAGCTGGACCTGGTCCAGCCCTGATCTCCCCGTGGCCCTGGGCTGAAACCCCTGTGCCCCGGCCCTGATCCCTCCATTCCCTGGCTCTGATCCCCCCGTGCCCCGGCCCTGATCCTCCGTAACCTGGGATGATCCTCCCCATTCCCCGGACTGAATCCCTCATTTCCTGGCCCTGACCCTCCCATACCGCGGCCCTGATCCCCCTGTGTCGAACCCCCCATGCCTCGGGCTGATTGCCCCGTGTGGGCAGCAGGGAAGGGGGCGATTCTGCCCCTCTGCCCCGCTCAGGTGAGACCCCACCTGCAGAGCTGCCTCCAGCTGGGGGAACTGGGATTGTTCATGCTGGAAAAAAGAAGGCTCCAGGGTGATATTATTGTGGTCTTCCAGTAACTGAAGGGAGCTCAGAGAAATGATAGGGCAAGACTGTTTGCAGTATATGTAGTGACAGGACAAAGGGGAATGGCTTCACACTGAAAGAGTAGGGTTAAATCAGATATTAGGAAGAAATTCTTCCCTCTGAGGGTGGTGAGGCCCTGGCACGGCATGCCCAGAGATGCTCTGGCTGCCCCATCCCTGGCCTTGGAGCAACCTGGTTTAGTGGAAGGTGTCCCTGCCCATGGAAATACATGATCCTCAACGTCTCTTCCAACCCAAACCATCCTGAGATTCTCTCAGGAGATGCCTACAAGTGTCATCCCAGAGTGTGAAGCTCTGCAGAGGTCTGGGACACTTAAGAGGGGCTGAGGAGCCCTTGACTCTTGTCAATTTGGGTGGACATGAGAGTTTCTGTACTTGCTGCTAAACATTTCTTCATGGGAAGGGCTGTCAAGCATTGGAATGGGCTGCCCAGGGAAGTGCTGGAGTCACCAGCCCTGGAGGTGTTCCAGAAATCACTGGACATGGCAGTGCTATGGTTTAGTTGACGAGGTGGTGTTGGGTCAAAGGTTGGTCTTGAGTATCCTGGAGGTCTTCTCCAGCTTTAGTGAGTCTGTGATTCCCTGGTGCTGTGGAGGTACCACAGCTGAATGTCCAACCATGTGCCCTCACAGCATCTCCCTGGATCAAAGTGGCTGTCCCACTCCTGCTGTGTTTGTCATGAGCCTGGACCATGGAGCACACTCAGAGCAGTCTGCTGGGCCCTGTGCAGAGGTTGAGATGTTTTTGGCAGTGGGGAGACCCTGCCCAGCACTGCCTGGCTGCAGCAGAACTGCCCCTGAGTTCACATCAGCAGTCCCAACTGTCTGTGAGAGAGAGCTGTAATAGGAAAACAATGAAGAATTACATGATCAAAGTCTGGCTTGTATTCCATTGTATTCCATTTTTCATTTGCAGAACTGAGCCACTTGGGGAATGCCAGAGAGTGGATTCAGTGTCAGAGCTACTTAAAACTCTGCAAAACTCCTTTCTGTTTTGCAAACCTTGTCAGAAGTAGATGCAGTAGGCTCTGTTGTATTTTTGATGGATGGCTGGCAAGAGTTAGAACTAAGCAGATTCTAAGAATTCTGCAAGTACTAAAATATTTTTTTCTTTAGGAATGATTTCTTGCTGGTGAACCTCTGGGGCTCTTAAATAGAAATTTCAAGATGGAGCTGGTGCTCTACCTGGTTATACAGAGCTGCTGCACCTGTGGAGATGTGCAGAGTGTCTGGTGTGGAGGGCATCCCTCAGTCACAGCTGATTTCTCTGTGTCCTGTCTATAGCAGGAGAGTGGATTTGAAACAGCCTTGAGGCATCCCTAAGATACCATCCAGACACATAATCAATGGTGTGTTCACAGAGGTATAAGAATTCTAGCTCACAAGCAGAAAAATCCCTTCCTTATTCCTAAATACGAAACATAAGGATTCTATATGGCTGCACATGCCTTCAGGATTTATGCATAATCTTGATGAAGGTTTTGAGAATATTTCCCCAAGTGTTTAATCACCTGCAAAGTCCAAAAGAGCCCTGAACTTTCCCTGAGATCTGTGGGCACAAAGTTTTTTTTTATCTTTGAGTCTTACTGAGATTAGGGCAGTTGGTGGTTCTATTTTGATCAAAGAAACTGTGTTTGAATGGAATACTGAAGGATGACAGAATATCTGAGGCTGGAAGGATATTACCCTGTTGAACCCCTGCACAAAGCATTTCCAGCCAGAGGGTTCCATGGGTTTGTGTTGGCATTGAATACCTCCAAGGATGGAAACTCGATGTTCAGCCACTTTCTCCTCACATCTCCCAGAACCTGGTGCTCTCAGAGCAGTGGCCTCACCCTCTGTGTTTGTGAGCAAAGCCCTCTGTTTGAACAGGCAGCTGTTCACCTCCGGGTGACGTCTGTCCCCTGGACTTTGTGCTGTGTCCATCCAGGACAATTTGCAGGACTGACACCCTTCTCCGTACTTTCTGCTTTATCTTGCTCTCTGTATGTCATCCACAGAGAGTGAATTGTGACAGGGTATCTCAGAATTATGGATATTGTGACTATAATAAGGCTGTGGTTTAGATACTGTAAAGATGTTGCTCTTAAGCCACTATCAGTTTTATTTCTCATCATAGTGAGCTGTCCTTTTTTGGCTTCAGAGAACAGTGAGGAAGATTCATTCCTTCAAAATGGTGACATCTGTGAAAGCTGTGGGTAAATATTGTCCTCCTTTGACATTGACACATCTGGTGTTAAGACATGACACTCTCAGATCTCAGTTTTGCACAACCCATTTATTACTGGTTTTTCATTTCCTGTGAGACTCTGCCTTTCCTAAGGTTTTATGGACTTTCTGAATTTATCATAAATTCTGTTTTGCCATCAAATGAACAGACTTCCAGTTTTAGTTTATACATAATACTGAGATCGTGTCCTTCTTTAAAAAACCCTGTAAACCTTTCCCTTTAAAGATCCAGGTTTTTGGAGCATGCCTTGCATGTATCTCAGCATGCAGGGAATGAGACTGCTTGAAGAGATTGCATTGATACCTTGAATTGCACGTTAGGGCAAAATGTGTCAGGATAGAAGGATTTGCAGTGTAACTGGGCATTATCTGCAGTGAACCTGAAATGGGCTGCAAAGGAACCCTTGAATCAGCTAAATAAGCAGCTGCTGTAAGCAGTGCAAGTTAGTAAGAACCAGCAATTAAATAATTAATTATTCTTTCATGGTAGGTTAGTTCATCTGGTTCCCTTTGCAATTTAAAATACTTTGCTAGTAAAATTATTTTTGTCATCAAAATACAAAGTGTGCCAGCAGTACTATTTCAGGAAGCAAGGCAATATTTCATCTGGGAAAATAAACCTTAGCTTACTGTTTTCTTACTATTTGATTGATTTCTTTTAGATATTACTTAATTGTGATTTTTTTTTAATTGAACAATGCAATGAGAGAAGAGAACAAGATTTAAAACTAGGTAGAACCAACCATGCTTATGGCCTTATTAAAACATATAAAACCAATTGGTTAAAATAGTACTGAAGAGGTGAAAACAGAACATACATTGTGAGGGAAATTAGAATTGTAATATTCAAAATTAGATTTAAACTTTCAGTCTAGATGAGACTGGAATATGTTTCAAGGGGGGAAAGTGTTCTGGATAAAAATGTTGGTCTGAGTTTTCATCTTGGCTCTGGCAGAGGTTTCCTTAGTGACCTTCAGAGTATTGATTTGTGTTCTGTGACAAAGGTATCATTGAACTTTCTCCCTGCCTGAGGTTATGGTTGTGTTGGTTTTGTTTGTGTTTCTGATGCTCAGATGGGAGCTGCTGTAGAAATAAACCAGAAAATCAGATTTATGGAGCTCCAAGAGCTCAGAGAAGTGTGCAAGTAACACCCTTTGAAAATGTCACCACTGACTTCTTAGGGCAGCTGTTGACTGTACAGTGTCGCTTGTGGAATGCCATACATCTGGTGATGTGTGTGGAGATGACCATCCAAAGTGCTTCTAGCTGCTTTTTCCTGTGAGTTACAGTAATGGAAAAACTATTTTTTCCACACTGAGAAAGGAAAAGGATTTCAGGATTAATTGTATTTTCTGCTTAGTGAACACCATTCACTGAATTGCTCATCCAAGCAGTTGCTTTATATCATTTTCCTAATCTAATTCTGCTTTAGGAGATATGACTTTATAAACATTTTAGTCCTGACTAGAAGGAGGTGCAGGGAGTAGTGGATTCCTTATCAAAGTGAGAATTCACAAAATGGAAAGAAGCCTCTACTTGACAGTCTTGTAAAGGGTCAGACTGCTTGCGGAGTATTTTGAGATCCTTGGATGAAGGAAGATTTTTATGTTTGTTATGTAATTCTTTCTGTACTGTCAAAAGAAAAATAAATCTCCATTTTACTAGAGTTTTGGGATCATCTTGAGTGTGGATGTGGATTTTAGGGTGCATGTTAACCTGTAGCTAAAAAGTTCCTTTCCATCCATGTCCAGAAGCAAGATCCAGTGAATAGCCATGGAGGGAGGAGGATGTGATGCTGTCCCTGCTCACAGGGTTCTGTCCCTGCTCGTTTGCTCGAGGCAGCTCTGCTCAAGGCTGTGCAGGAGGGAACCTTCCACCCCCCCTTGCCCAGGAGCAGCTGGCAATGGGGTGTAGGAGGGTGCAGTCAGCTTCAGAAGGGACAAACTGCTCAAACTTTGGCTGTTTCACCCCAAAAGAACAGGTTGGGCAGAAACACCAAGCAGCTGCCATTAAACCAATTACTTTAAGTGTCTGGGTGGTTCCTTTTGCAGTTCCATACTCAGAT